AGTTGGAATTTATCGGAAACAATTGCGCACACACCGTTTAAATCGTATCATAATTGTAATTCGATGAATTCTAGTCGATCGCGCGCTCACCCGCTCGTGTAGTGTGAAACGCAATATTTGATACGATGGTCGCGAGATATTTTCTAAATTGTGTACCCGGGTGTACACGTTGCGCGTTTGCGTTATTCCATCGGGTTCGTGTTTCCTCGAGACCGGGGATTCTAATGTCCTTGCTCTTCGAGCACCCCGTCGAACCGTGTTAAAGAGCGAGTGCTTTAGAAGTCTCTTTTTTTACCTTGGCACCTGTCGTCGAGTGTTCCTGGAGAAGGACATTCGGCTACGTCAGCACGTATCGTACCTCTCTTCTTTGCCGGAGGAAACTATCGATTGATGCCCTGGCACCCCTCGCATGTATACACCCTCACAGCTTTCCACCTCTCTCTCTCTCTTTCGTATTCTCGCTCCCTCCTGCTCTCTCGCTCCTATCCCTGTCTCTCTTTCTCGCTCTTCTCTGTCGCTTTCTCCTACGCTCCTTCGTCCTCTCAGCCTAGTTTTTCTCTGCGCTTTGCCTGCGGCAGAAGGGTGCGTACGCGCTAAACACTTGCGTTCATAGGGTCGAAAAGAGTTCTGTAGTACTCCGTTTATCCGTACCGCGTTTTATATTTGTAATACCGCCGCTATGGCCTTAAGGTGTTTACGGAAGCTCCATTAATATTATCCCTGCGCGCGACTTCTATGTTCGTCATCGCGCTGCCTCGATTTACTGTAACACGCGGATATTGCTTGTTTTTTATATACTCCGAGAGACAATATGGCGATTATAATTGGAGTACACGTCGTGAATTGTAGAAATGTGTGTTGTCTCATTATTTCTCCCCGAGCTATCGCACATTTGCCCCATACTATGATAAATTTATATAATTTTCTAGTTATTTTTGGAGTTATATATGAGGAATTTGATATATATATATGTGTGTAGAGATGCTTTCTCGTTATGGATACACCTGTAATCACTTGCCTGAGTATTCTTTTCCGCCGTTTCTCGTATTTCCAATTTTGTTAGGCGCATCATTAATGTACTGGAGATTTTATTTTCTGCCACCGTAACCTCCCCTATCCGAGACAAATAGCCCGCTTAACCACCTGTTCTTTTTCGAGTCCGGCAAGAACAATGGACACGATTATTAACGCTATTAGAAGTTGACCCATGATGCCCATTTCGATCGCGCAACTTCTTGATTAAGACCGACAAGAAATTACCATTATACGCTGCCCGACAGACGGTCTTTCCACCAATGGTCTCGGTTCCGCTCATCCTCCCCTCCTGCCTCTGTATCCCTCCTGTCCCTTCGTCGCGCCATTCGTAATGTTCAGAGACGGCGGGGGCACCGGGCGATGTCCTTTTTGCAGACAATCTTCAGGGTTTAATTAAGGAACTTGGAAGAGCGGATGAGCTCGATGAATGGGGCGGACGAAAAGCGAAAGGGCGACACCGGGGAAAGCGACGGGATGGGGGTTGAGGTAGAAAAAGAGAGTCAAATGTTCTTCACTAACCAGGGTCGAAGCACGCGAGCGTTCCTTGGTCATTCCAACGAGAGTCTCTGCATACGCACGCCTCGTATTGTGCGTATACGCGTGTGCATGTGTAGAGAACGCGCACGCATGACGGCGCAACGCGTTCGTGTACATGGCTTTAAGAATTGTGCGCCACCCTCTTCGCTGTTGGGGCGCGGAAAACAAACAACCGTCTCGGCTCGACAATCGAGCGGGAGAAGGAAAGAGAGAGAGAGAGGTGAAATAGCGAGACATGGATGGAGTGAGGAGGAGGCTCGGGGAAGGAGAGAGAATTCTGCGATCGCGCGAAGGAGGCCAAACGTTTGCGAATTGCATTGCGAGCGCGAGAGAGAAAAAAACAGACACAGCAGGGAAACTTTGACAGAGTCAGAATCAAATTTGGCTTAACCAAGCCTGAAATATTTTTCAAGGTTTAAGACGCGCGGTAAAATTGTATTATACTGTATTGTGTTACTGTACTATAAATTCTAAACTATCGTGGGATTTAACCGCTTGTATGGGAAAAGCGATCGTTAAAAATGCAATTCGCAAGGCGGATGAAAGCAAATCGCGTGCGTGTCCCTTCAACGTCGACGGCATTCGTTACTTCTCCGCATGTCGCGCGGTTTTTTTTTTCTTTCGAGCTCGAGTGGCGTACACGCGCGCGCGCGCGTTTTGTTAGAACGTCGCTCTCGTGCGATACACAATTTCCTTTTTGATCTCCGTTACAATAGCGTAAGGGTTCTTGGAGGAGCTGAAAGGGGAGAGCTTGGAGCTTACGTCGATCGTCGTCGCGTGCCGCCCACGGCAAGTCAGCGATTTAGAGTACGGGTATCCGAGGGGTTAATGACGATGTCGGTTAATGACGATGGTGCTTTGATGTGCCGGCTCGCATGGTAGAAAAAAGTCTCCCGCTTACGTAATTGTTTTGTAAACTGAGTACGATGCTTTGACGGCGACGTTACGTGGGCGTGGGATTGAACCGTGTGTGTGTGTGTGTGTACGCTTAACGAGGGAAAAGTCTCGGCATTTCCTCGCACGCGCGCCGATTTGTGGTCGATAATGGATTCTACGAGCGATTTCGATCGCTCGGAACTAATACGGATGGCGATCGGTGATTTAATTATAAGCCGCTTTTCCTATTTAATTATCAATCGAATCGAGATCACCGTCGTCCGGCGTTTAATCGATTGCCGCGTGTGTCAAGGTATCGCGAATTGTTTGAGCGTATTCTGTCATAGTCATCGACACTCGCTGTAACAATTATAGTGTTCATTATGTGCACGCGCTATCGAAGGTGTCGATATACAGGAACAATCGCGCTCATACATTTTGACATATACGGCTTTAGTTCGTGGACGATAGACCGAGGGTGAAGCGTACATATATAGATATTTTTTGCGCCTCGCTCCTCATATCGAAGTTATATAAGAGCTGTGCAAATATCGTGCTCTCATATGCTCGAGTTATGGCATTTATTAGTCACCTAAGGTCAATATTATGCTGCTTAATAACATTTCTCATTAAGACGTACTCGGCACAAGTATGACATGCGTGTTCACGATATGCCGTAAAAAAAAAAGAAATGATCGATCGCAATTGCAATTATTCGTACTCTTGTACAGTCGGCACGATAAAAGTTGCAACACTTTTTCATCGGTGAGTTTCGCTACACTTTCGGTGTTCAATAGGAGATTTCGTTTTTTAGTAATTCTCGAGAAATACATTTCCCTACCGGATACAAAGCGCCTTATGAAACATCGAAAAAAAGTTTTGCAGATTTTATTATGTCGACTGTACAACGTATGTGGATTATTACTTTTGTTCTGTTCGTTTTTCTCACGATGCCGTGTTCCGATTTTATTGAATAGAGATCTCTCTCTCTCTCTCTCTCTCTCTCTCTCTCTCTTCCTCTCAGTCGTCGTAATAATATATTTCTTTCGTCAGCAATTTTTTATTCCGGTGCTAACGCCTATAACGCTAGATACTATAATCATTGCGCACATTCATAGAACAATGAGAAAACAATGACCGGTAGGTTTATCGAGTTAATTAGGTGTCGGCAATAAACTTACTGTTACGTGTCCGGCATTACAGTAATATATGTCGAATGACTGTGTCGGTTAGGCAATATCAGCGCTTACAGTACGTATGCGATCGCTCGAACTTTATTACTGCGGAATGAGAACATTAATTGTGGCTCTTCACACCATTATCGACCATTACGTCATACGAGCAGTCTATTGCTCTCGCACGGACAATGGTTCTCGCGCTGTGAATTTAAAAAACATAAATTTCATTTTCGATCACACGATTAATTTTTCCGTTTTCTTTTCATCTTTTTACCACGGTGGTCGACTCTCTCTCTCTCTCTCTCTCTCTCTCCCTCTCTCTCTCTCTCTTCCCTTCCTTCTCTCCCGCTGTCGCGTCTCGCGAAATCAAAAAAGAATTCACTTTTGTACAAACTTTATTCGCCTCTCTTTCTAGATAGTCTCGAAATCCAGTCAATTCGAGCGCCTTTGAGTGCGGATACTCAATGCTTCGAGGGCGGCTGAATAGCCGCCAACTCTCCCTCCTTCCCGCCCTCCTTTCTGCCCCTCTCCGTTGCTCCAATCAAATCCACTTGGCGAGAGAGACGGGATAACGAGAAATTCCTCTATGGGCAAAGCATTGCAGGAATATCTGGATATCCGATTCAATAAAAGGAAGCAGGAAGGTGGCGCGGAAGGGCGGGAATCATAAGTCGCACTAGAGAGAGAGAGAGAGAGAGAGAGAAGAGAAAGGAGAACGCGCGCGGTGCTATATAGCGGGCGGTCTCTTCCGTTTTCCCGAGGGAGCCGTTTACACGGTGTTTGCGGGGGCGCGACATTTATCTCCGCGCGGGCACAACAAAGGCGCGTAATGAGAACATGTGTTGGATGCAGGAAGCTTCATTAGCGAGCCTGTTCCTGTTCACGGGGCCTATTGTGCCACCTAACCGTTTGGCGATGCACCGATACTCCGTGATACGTGGATGATTCTTCCGCGGGCACAGTGTGCTGGAAGTGGCGTGCGATCGCGCGAACAACGGGGGCAAAACCCTGGAGGGAGAGAGATACGGCGCGCTCTCGACTGTCGAAGCGTCAATGGCTTTCGAACACGGACGGGACGATTGACACTTAGAAAGCTCCGATGAATCGAGCCTCGGCGAGCTGTCGCGCGGAAACGCGGAATGACTGGATTCCGCGCGAAACGTTCGAGTATCTCGCCGCCGTTATGCGCCGCGTTTTTGCGACTTATATATTTTGTTAGACCGAGCCTCATTCATCCTTAGCCTCAGCAATCAGGATCCTATAGAGCGAGATTGAAAAATGCGGACGCGCGGCGGTGATTTATAGTGTGTATTAGGTAGTTTCGATCGGCCGATTTATTATCCTGCGATTGAGCAAATATATTTCCATTTGCAGTCTACGTCGGGGACCAGGAGCTAATGTGCAAGATGCCAGTGGTTACTCGGCCCTTCATCACGCAGCTTTGAACGGACACAGGTATGTTGTTCCGAACACTTACCGAGCAGAAATGAATCTAGTCGATTTGATTTAAAGACTAGTAGCTGGATAGCATTGACCGGATAAGTTTTCTAGCCACTCGCTAAGCTCGTTTCTGGCTAAATATTCTTAATCAGTTTTTGTAATCTAGCTGCTCTGTCTAGTCGTTATATGTAAAATACAGTAGTAAATTGACAGTTTTCTCTAAAATATACGATCTGGCTATTATTTTGCCATTGTCTAACTTTTTCTCTATTACTTAGTTAGTCTTTTAAGATTTCTAGTCTTAATTTCTAGTCTTCGTAGCTATATCAATTACTTAGACAGTATGTCTGCATAGTGGCTGTATAGATAAATTAATTAGTGTCTAGACAGGAAAGATTACACAGTAATGAGATGGAAAACTATCAGTAATTTCTGAGTGGAAATTGAATCTGTTTACAGATTGGACATATATTATTTTTATATTTGCAGATAGCATTTTGCCATAATAAATCTAAATATTATCTAGCAAACATATCAAAATTTTTTAGCAAGCGCTAGGTATAAGTAAATGCGATAATATTATATACTTATATATTACAATTTTCGTTAACAATAAAAATACGGAAAATATCATTTTTAATCCGATTATAATGTTTAATTCCATACTTATTTCATTTGGAAAATTAAATTATATTGCTAGAAAATTATATAACTACCGTAAGTATACATCATATGTATACAATACGAAACATCTATTAATCAAAGTGATAGTGCAGTAGGTAAGGTGGATGACTCAGGATCCGAGAGATCTCAGGTTCAAGGTTTGGTATCTCAATAGTGATAAGCAAATTTTCCTAATATAATTTAAATTGAATTAAGTAGTATGTAATTAAAAAGATTTTTAGGGACAAAGACTCGATTCGCATTTATTTCTTAAGAAGGTAACAATTAAAAATGTAATATAAATAAAAATTCTGATTAAAAAAAATGATCTAAATTTCGCTGGCAGCTAGCTGAGACTTTTCGTCTTATGACTGTGTACTATTTTTGGTCTAGCTATTGAGGTAAATGTCCTCCTAATAATTGAATAAAACGTGTCCCAATGATTGAAACGATAATAATATACATGTGTTTATTAAGATGCTTATCAATGAATGAAACAAAATCACAAAACTAAATATTTCTTTTCATTTATTATATTGTTCTGTATATTGAAAAGCATCTTAATGAAGAAAAATACGTCAATAATCTTTGAATCGTTAAGACATGTATGTTCAATCACTGGGACGTTTACTTTAGTTAATTCTAATACAGTCAATACAAGAAATGAGCTGACTGAAGGGCTGAAATGAAAAAAATAATTACATTCGTGGTTAATAGCTAGATAATATTATTAGACAATAGCGATATAAAACATAACTTTTCTATGCCATGAGTAGACACCCACGATGTTCAATTTCTATTATGACTGAAAGAGAAGACAATTTTATATATTATTTCTTAAACCGTCGGGATCTCTCGTTGTTGACGTTTGTGCGTCTTCTCTCTCAAATCGGCCTGCAACTGTCGTGCACTCTAACGTTTCCTGAAACGTTCACTTGCAGAGACGTGGTCAGATTACTGCTCCAATATGAGGCTTCCACCAATGTCGTCGATGCTAAGGGTTCCTCGCCGCTTCATTTGGCTGCTTGGGCGGGGGATGCGGAAATTGTGCGATTAATTCTCAGCCAAGGCCCGTCGGTGCCGAAAGTGAATCTTGCGGTTAGTAATAGCAGAAAATCGATCTTACGAAAGTTCCGCTCCACCGTTGCACGTGGCGAAGCGTGTCGATAAATCGCGTCGATCGATCATTTCGGAATGCGTGTCAAGGTTTCCCGGTTCACCCAAAGTGTGTTTTATCGAACATTGCGCAGAAATATTTTACATATCGGGAAAGTAAGAGAGAGAGAGAGAGAGAGAGAGAGAGAGAGAGAGAGAAAAAAAACGAAGAGAACGAAGAGTGAAAAAGTTACTGCGAAACTCGGGTTTAGCCGGGAGAACTTCTATAGCGCCGACAAATCAACAGTCGTATAATCCGAAAGAATCTAAATATCGATTTTGGTTATAGACAAAGGATAACGAAACTGCACTGCATTGTGCGGCGCAGTATGGGCACACGGAAGTGGTGGCACAGCTGTTGCACTACGGATGCGACCCTAGTATCCGCAACAGCCGCGGAGAATCTGCGCTCGACCTCGCAGCACAATATGGCAGGTAAATTGCGCACACGACTATGTTTTTCGGCGTTTCTCGGGTGCATATTTTTTTTTCTCTCGCTTGTACAGCCGGTAGTTCGCGGGTATGAAATTTCATGCGATCGATAACGGTGCACTTCGGTGTGTTCAGCAGACGGCATCGACGATGCGCTACGTAATCGTCAATTTTCTTACAGATTGGAAACTGTGGAGTTACTCGTGCGAACGCATCCCGAATTAATCGAGCCACTTCGTAATTCTTCCTCGTCTCTGATCTTCCCGCACACACCTTTGCATTTAGCTTCGCGCAATGGCCACAGGTAAGAATTTACTTATCGACGTATAGATATAGAGAGAGAAAGAGAGAGCGGTAAATATAAGAGCGATTTACAAATTGATAAAAAAACCACTCCGCACTCTTTCATCGGAATTAACTCTCCTGCGTTTATTCACACATTCGGCACGTTGCCGTTGATTTCGTAGTCGCATTGTGTCGTTCCATCTTTGTCCCTTGTTTTCACGGGATCGGTTTCGATTCTATCTTACACGGCGGCGCGAATTATAATGACGCCGCCATCGTTCGGGTCGCTCGTTTGTGTTTATCTAAGGACCGCGTATCACTTCTTCCCGCGAAATGGTCACGCTAATTACTGGATAATGCGCGACGTGTATTGTATCCGAGTACAACAATGGACTCGTTCGAGCTAACCATAACGATGTCGAGCCATTTGCAGCGCTGGCTATTAGAGCCAATCAGAGAGCACCGCGTTGCGTAATCCCGTCGAATGCGATATATACGTCCTCCGACTGGCATGATCCGATCCAACCCTCTACTGGTTACACGTCCCATATTACCGTCCCGTCGATTGCCCTCTCGTCCCTCCTCGAGCCACGCGAATGCGTCCGATCGCATCACGCCGGCAGCCGCTCTGTCCATCCGTGCGGATTGCTGACCGCCTCCCGATTACGAGAATCGTATTAATCACTGCCGCCGAAACGTATCGACCTATATTAATCGCGACCATAGCAGCGAATAGTCGCGATTCTATGCTGCAGCGAGATATCATTCCCTGCCAGAGAGAGAGAGAGAGAGAGAGAGAGAGAGAGAGAGAGAAAATATCGGCTTCACCTGGTATCGTGATCTTCGTAATACCTGGGTATCGCATAACCCACATACTTTTACCTGGAAGACAGTCACGGTATAATATATCGGCACACGGAGAAGAACGCGCCCCGTGTGCGCCTATTTGCGTGTGTGCGTGCGTATGTGAAGTAAATAATATCGTAATCATAACCATGTATTCGCCGTGTAATATTATTCGATTAATTGAACCGCGTAATGGGATGACAAAGGAGCAACCGGATAATCGATTACGCCAGGCCGATATGATCAGACGGCGGAGATTAATATCGCCGTTGTATTCTTCGATGCATTCTACGAAAGACCTTCGGTTCCCGTCCCTACCTCCTTCCCCCCTCCTCTTCTCTCTCTCTCTCTCTCTCTCTCTCTCTCTCTCTCTCTGTTAGATCGCGGTGGCGACTCCCATTTCGCGGTACCACACACGCTATGGTAACATCTCCGTTACTCCCGATCGTTCCGCGTATAGCATTCGGTCCATCGCCGAGCGATTTACTCTCGTTTAACAGGACGATGCTACGGACGGTGTCCGTAATCCCGTTGAGTTTTGTTTTTTGTTCGGTTTTTTTTTTTTTCGTGTATAATCGACGCCACGGAGTAGCGGAGAGCGAGGGGATGAACAGTCGGAACAGCCCGGTTGGCGGTCGAATAGAATCGTGAATCGCCACGAAACGGCAGTCACATTGTAATCGGGTATAACGCCGGTTTTTCTATGCAGTCTCGCAGCCGGTAATCGCTTTAACCGTCGCTTGCCGCTTATAATGCGATCGTATCGCGATATACAGTCCGGTGGCTGCATTTTCCGTCGATGTCGATGCGAGGGTGCAGCAGAATTGGCGGGAGTGGCGGTGTGGGATGGGAGAGGGCGGGTGAGAGAGAGAAAGAGCGAGAGCGTGTAGAACGTGACATTTTATCGCTCGAATTTTGGTTAAATAACGGCGCGCGAGACGTTTGCGCCTGTACGAGTGTGAACGCGTACGCACGAGCTGTTTGAACGTTTGGGCTAGGTCAGCGTTTCTCAAACCGCGGCTGCGACGGCTCCGTGACGGAATAACCGAGGCCGACGGTATTCTCTCCGATGCATCAATAAAGAGCTGCATGAGTACCTGTGCTGCCGCGAGATTTGTCGTACCGAAGGATCGCGTGAATTCACACACGGACTTTTGCCAACGTTGGGGAGAAAAAGAGAGTCGTCACGGAAAAAATTTACGTTTCGTTGCCCCACATTTCTATTTTATATTCTATCCTTCTTGCATATCATAAGTACTTCCTCGATTAAATAAGTGCAAGTGTCCCCCCTTCCTCCTTCACTAGTATCCTATCTGTTCGGTGTGTCGAAGGGACCCCGGTATCGGCGGGTTTGAGAATCCCTGGGGGTAGGTGTACGCGCGCACGCGGGCACGTACGGGGGTGCGTACATTGCGACGGTCGAGCTCACGCACGCGTTTCACGCGCGCACCACGATATTTAGTGGATCTACCAGCGGCAGCTATATCGGGCTAGAACAGCGGGGGACCGGCCGGCAGAGAGGGATCAGTTGGCGGCAGAGGGAGGCGGGGGGAGAGGGTGAAACGGCGGGGGTGGCAGCGGCGGACGCGGAGTAATGTCTATTATCGGATTCAATATCGGTGCTCTCGGTAAGCCAGTATACAAATACCCCTATGCTACGGTAATAACAACATAGGTGCACGTGAATCCGATCTTCGGCCGTCAATCCTATACGCGTCGGACGACTGCGGTCACTGTAGTCGATGCGCGGCCCAACCCCCCGACAGAAGGACGGCGAAATCTGCGTTTTGAGCTTTCTCGGCGGCCGCGGCAGCAAATGCATCTCTGGTGAAATCCCGATGGCTCGCGGGATTACGATCGAGACGCGCACGCTCCGCTCACACACACATACACACACACACACACTCTCTCTCTCTCTCTCTCTCTCTGATGATTGCGTAAAATCTCCGAACCAGTCTGCGTCTTGATACATCTTGTGGTTGCAAAAATCACTCGCCAGTCAGTTCGTCACCCTGTTTTTCCGAAGTGTTTCAGTATTTGTTCCTCATTTCTCGTTCTGTTCGAGAGAAATTATAGTTATCTTCAGTGCTAGCTATAACCTTTTTATAATTTTAACCACCAAAATAGTAGTGACAACATACATATGAGGTTATTTTCATTAACACTACAATAACATTTACTAGAAAATTGGTTTCCTGACTATAATTCTTTTACTTTAATTATTATAGTTACATACATCAAATATTTTTTTCTCTATGTGACTGATATACAGTATTTATCTGAATTCCACCGACGAATTCAAAGGATGGATTCTCTACATAAAAGAAAAATAAATAAAGAAGTCTTAGTAAATATATGTTCCCAAACGCTTAGTTTCTGAAATATAGCTACCACAATCTCAGCTTAAAAAAATATGAATTTTATTCATTAAATCCATCGAGAGTAAAATATAGTTATTTTCGGGACCAACAATATCCCTTTTTTATTTTAACCACAGAAATAATAGTAACATGCACGTTATTATTACTGGCACTATAATAACACTTGTTAGAAAAATAGTTTTCTTGACCATTTTTGTGGTTAAAATGAAGAAAAGGATATTGTTGTCCCCGAAAATAACTATATTTTTCTCTCAGTGTATCGTGTTTTATGTCACCACGCTCTGAAAAGGGCAAAGGACGGAGGAGAGAGAGAGAGGGTATCGTGTTTTATTAATAAACATCTAGACACATACTGTTATAAAAATTACAGAGTACAAAATATCTGGCTCCCTTATCAATGCACAATTGACATCTGTGAAGCAAAGACGCGCGTACAGTCAGTCACAGAACGGTTACAACAGACCATTCCGCGTTCAATAAGAGAATTCGTTTTTTAGTCATTCTCAGGAGATACATTTCCTTTATTAGACACGTTGCGAAACTCATCGAGAAAAATATTGTGGCAACCTCTCCTGTGACCGAACGTACACACGTTCGAATATTGCTTCATTATTTCTAACGCTATTGCACGCCCGTTGGATTCTTGGAAGCGGTTCATCTAATCCATTTACAGAAATATCAAAATTGATCCAGGTATTATCTTCAAAAATAATTAAAAAGGTATTGTATTAATATTCTTAACCCGTCTACCGCCACACATTTTCCTTCATCGTTGTCATCATTTGAAAGCGCGTATTTCAAACACCAAGTTTCCTCGGACACATGTCCGCCAAGACTTCTTTACTTATTTCCCAACAGTTTGTCGGTCGAGCTTCAGATATCCTGTGTAAAACACGAGGTTATCCGTTCCGGTCGTCGCCTATTTAATCCCACCTGAATTGACGAACGGTGACTCCGAATAATTGCGGAAACGCAATCTCGTTAATTCTGCGAGCCCTATTAACATTTGTCATGCGACACGAGCGAAGCGCGCAATGAGATGCTGGCATAATTTTGTTGCAGAGCGGTCGTGGAGGTCCTCCTTGCCGCTGGAGTTGACGTCAATACGAGAACGTCAGCGGGCACCGCGATGCACGAGGCGGCGCTCTGCGGCAAGATGGAAGTGGTACGGGCGCTTTTAGATCGCGGAGTGGATTTGGGCATTAGGGATTCCCGGCAGAACACGGTGCTTGATCTTCTGGGACAGTTCCCGCCGCACGTCACTCAAGATATCACGGCGGTGATAAAAAGTATGCTCGCGTTTGCATGCATGCGATTTATTTTCGCGCAACATCGCGACCGATGTGTGTGTGTGCGTGTGTGTACACGAGGGCTTGCGTAATTAGTGGGATTCTCGCCGCGCGCGAGAGCACGTGCGCCTTTAGCTTGCCGCGCGACGCGTTTAATTAAATCGCCCTTAGCCTCGTAGAAAAATTTGCGCGTGTACTCGCACGATGTGTATATTATGCGATTAATCTTGAATTCCGTTTCGCGCGACGTACGCCGGGCGAATCGTGGACCGACACCACCGCTAATTCCGTCGTTGACGGCCTGAATGATTTTCTCGATTCTCACCTCTGGGAGTCGCGCGTATATTTAACGCGTCAAGACCGTAGCAGCTTCGGATTCTTAATATCTTCGCTCTTCTTCGTGTCTCCTTCGAGACTCGTCGCGCTGCGATTCGCTTCGCGAGAGATTGCCTTTAGCTTGCCGTCGAGGTAACGCGTAAAAGGCCCTCTCAGGCCGGGATGTTCACAGTCAGATCTTATATTTAAGACAGTTTCAACTTCACATGCTCTACGACTCGTTTCATTGGCTACGAAGCGGCCGAAAATGATCTCGAGACGGTCTCAATGATAACATCCGACTGTGTGAATACTCGGAACGCTAACTCGTCGCTTACGATTACACGCATTGTCGAATTCAAACAGGGCACCGGTCTTCCTCCGGTGTGGAAAGCGACGCCGACAGCGAGAATTTGCCGCCCATTCCGGTGCAGGGTGGCGACTCATTAGGCAGTCCCTACGAGAATGTTCGTCCGGGTGACGATCTCTCCCCCGCGGAAGGGACATCGCCGACTCAATGGCAGTTCTATCATAAGCCTCGGGACGACGATCGTCGCGTTTCCGGCACTTCCGTCATGTCCTTGTAAGTATCACCGTATCCGCTTTTCACTTCACGCATGTGTACGCGTGCGATCGTGCACGCGTAGATGTGTGTGTGTGTTTGTATGTGTTGTGCGCTGTATTTTTTATGGTGTATACCGCGTTGAATCGCACATCTCCCCCTCGTAAAGCCACCACCGACACTGCGAGCAGATAACGATACTCGCGCTTGCACAAAACATGTAGTGCGTGTTCGTGACACTAGCGAGATATTAATCCGGTAGCGGTAACTGAACACGTTAAAATGATGTCGAGCGGAATATTGCGCGAATATTACACGCGAATAATTAGCGGCTCGTAAGACAGCGTTAATAATATCGATGTACCGTTTAAGTACCCTTGCGCGTACAAAAACCGGAGTATTAATTAACGTCAACTTCAGCGACGCACGTGCGCCCGTAGAGTGACGTATTTCGCTCGCGAACAGATCGCGTTCATTTAATGTAAACTCTTACGCGGGATCTCCCACGCATTACCGCGCTCGCACACTCGCGCATTCTCACGTATCGCGACTTCGCGCGTACGGTGAGAAAATACTTCCTCTCCCCTCCCCCTCGTCTTCTTTCCCTGACGATGGTCTCTCGAAGGGAATGAAAACCGCGCGGTATCGCGGTGGGTGAGCGCGGTCGGCGATCTTTTTTTGCGAAAAAGACTCCGTATAATATAGGTACGGCGCGCAGAGCGGCCGCCGCGGTGCTTTAATATAGGAGATGTTGGACAAACAAAAGCGTAGACGTGGACGGAACACGGAGTGAATGAGTGAGTACCGGCCAAGCACCGGCCGGGATGATGACGGCTGGCGCTGCTGCTACCGCTGCCACTCCGCGCTGTTACTCCGCAGGAGGTGGAGAAGGTTGGAGGTGGAGGTTCTCGGACCGAAAAGGGAACCTGGATATATGGGGGGCGCGGGCGGGCGGAAAACGCGCGGCGGTGGAGGAAGAGGTTGGAGGAGGAGGTGGCGGCACGGCGTGTAGCCCCAGCGCGTTAAGCACCGCTTGGCTTGGTTTAATTTTCCTGATGTAGGCAGGCGATGGTGGGTCCGACCGCCTCGTTCGCCCCTGGGTCACCCCCGCTGCATCACCCCATTGGTACTCCGTGCCAGTGCTACCGCTCTAGCTGCTAAGCCCGACTAGTTGGCTCGGCTCTCCTCAGCAAGGAGAGAGAGAGACGAAGACGTAGGGGTGAAAGAGAGTGGAGCGAAAAGCGGAGTGTAAGAGAGCGGAGGAGGGACAAAGAGGGGCGCACGCGATGTGTGCGCGTGGCAAGCGGTAGAGAAAGAAGGAAAGAGGAAGGGAAAGGAGGGAGAGAGAGAGAGAGCGATAGAACGTGGGTGCTCGTTGCCGTTGATGTTCTCCGCACTTCTCCACCATCAATGTTTGACGTCGGTAGCCCCGGCTTGGCCGCTTCGAGATGAATCCATCACGTTAAACAATGTAAATGTTAGCCCGTCTCAGCATAAAACTAATAACCATCGCTCCCCCGTGAGCGCGCGCGCGCGGCCTCCGCAACCCCCGGGCCGACCGACCGCCGGCTCCTTTTCCGCTCCTCTTGCTCTTCGCACTCACCGCGTTCCGTCCTCGTCTACGTGGCCACCTCGTTAAAAAGTCGCCCCTTGCCTGTGAATGTCTTCGCGACCGAGTTGTGTTTTGTCAGTCGGGGAGACGGCTGCCTTTTCTTCGCAACTTACATCCTTGCAGTCTTTCTTACTGTACGACGCGCTGCTCTCTAAGATTTATATTAATAGTCGTTACTTAAAACTTGTCTCAAGACGCTCTTCGAGATACTCAGATTTGAATTCAGAGTTAGATCTGAATTTCTCAGTTGAATCGCAATTACAGGTAGAATGTCGTGTGCATTGTAAAATTTCACTAAAGGACTCAGATCTAACTGTAACAATTTAGATCTGCACGGTAAAAAATGCAGTGCTAATTTTAATCATTTTTACATGTCTCAGAAAGTTGATGACTAAGTTGAAGCCAAAATAACTCATTCGTCGTGTTTTATTTGTTCACAAATTAGAAATGGTAATGACTTGATATTAACACATTTTCTTCCAACATATGATATTAATTATTTTTACTTAAATTTTATTCTTAATAGTAACATTTGATATTAATTAAATTGATTTTTCACGTTAAAAAATTTATTTTTCACTTTTTTTAATTAAATTGATATTTGTAATGTCAAATGTAACAGATGCTATTTTCACGTCAAAGAAATTTATTTTTCACATTTTTTAAACGTGTTCTTGAGATGTCGTCAACTGTGCCTGAAACTTTCTTAATTATATGTTATTTAATTGATTTAATTAATATGGTATTTGAAAAGTATGTTTATCACTGATGGGACTCAAACTCGGGATCTTGAGTCACTTATCTTTCATACTACACCATTGCTATGCTTTAGCTACACATGCGGTTTATATTGTTTAAGTTTTAAAATGACAACACTGTTACTGCGGATAAGATCAATACAACTTGTCTATAAATTTTAACATATAAAATATGTCACCAATTAATACTCAGTAATTTTAACATCTTTGTTAATCAACAGTGAAGTATGAAATGTGTTATCCTACACTGAAATAACATAAAATATGTTAAGTTAACTAAGCAATTGTGTTAAAAGAACTCGAAGTAATATTTTATTTTAAATGATACACAAAACATATTAATTTACTAAATTGACATAAAAATATAACACATGAAAACGTCAAAAATGGTATCAGCTGTTTGTCAATTTTGATTGAAGTAATAATCAAAAGATGGCAACATAAAAAATGTTAATATTTAGACACAAGATTATTTATTGTGTGAGTATCTCACGTGGTGTAAGTTTCAAGCAACGATTATTAATACGGGCCATAGTCTTCGCTTTCGCGAGCGTTTTAATCTAGCTAATGATACGTACACGCACATACATACGCATTGGAGTGTATCGATAAATGGTACAATTTTAAAAGATCGAATATCGCTAGTGTCGCAAGCTGAGATGGGTTTAGGTGGGAATTGATTTCCGTGAACGTTGGTTGAACCCCGTATTTGGTGGTAGTTAGTTGATTAGCATTGCCACCACGGCGACTTTTATTCGGTGCATACGAGATTATGTGTTGCTTGGCTTTGGATGTGCCTTGATCGTAAACGGTTGGTGATCGATGTCGGTTGACGTACCGGGATGCACGTTTTCAGCGAAGACGAGCAGAACGGGGAGCCAGTGAACGGAGTACGGAGGGCCCTCCAGCAGACAGAGGACTCCGACCCCAGTTCCGTCTTCGACAGCGTCTTTATGTCCCTATCCGACACTCTCAACTCTATAAATACTCTCGAAAGTTCCGACCAAACTCCTGAAGATATACCACAAAACACTACCAAAAGAACACCATTACCACCCGACACTACACGGTAATGACATGCATACATTCTGCACAGTATAGTCGCAACTATAGATACAACATAATTTCTCGGCAATGGATCAGTCGTTGTTTACCGAAGTCGTAGAAATTGGCGTTAGTTAACATATGCATGCACTCTCGTAGAGCATTCGTTATCGAGTGTCCGAGACGCGTGCTCGATGTTGAGTTCGAGGAGGAAGTCTGTAAATACTGCAGTCTCGACGAATTGCAATTTAGAGAGAGAGGGAGAGAGATTTGCGCACGATCCGAAATTGCACGATAGAAGCGAGCTGTGTCTCCGTTTCTCGCGCGGATTGATCGAGCTTACGCTTCGGAAGCTTCTCGATCCGCGGAGTCGATCTCGTCGTCATCGACTCCGAAACAACAGATCACCCCACCGGGCTCCCACTGAGGCGTCGAGTTTTCGTTGCACAGGGGCTCCGACAGTGGACTGTATCAAACTCCACCGGTGCCGCGCGGCACAATGGAGGGTAGCTTCGTGTCGGAGGACCTGTCCTTGACATTGCCCACGGGATACGGGGGTGGCAGAGAGTCCGATCAATTGAGCGTGTCCTCATCCTCGAGCGTCGGCGGACCGAGCCCACGGGACCGTCGTTGTTTGCCCAACGATTCCAGCGCTGCCGGGATTTACTTGCCGATGGCACCCCTGTCTAGCTCGCTGCACAGTCCCGCTTCCAACAGTAAAGTCTCGGTAAGAGTCTCGGTTAATCGGAATTAGCGTCGTGAATGTAGAAACGCGTGCACGAGAATCGAAGAGATTGAATACTTTCTTGGGTTTTTTTTCTCTTTCTCTTGTTTTCTCGAATATCGAGAATCGGAAATTTCGGGAGTGAAGATCGAAGTGCGAAAAGTGGATCGGCAAGTGCGAAGGAAATGTTTGTCTCTTCTCTCGCAGCCGACGCCACCCAAGAAGCCACCGAGGCGAAACCTCTCAGTGTCCCCGACGCACCTGCAGACGCAGATGTCCTTGTCTGCCGACAGCTCGGTAGGACCGAGCAACTACGAGTATTTGTTCTTGGCGCGCAGCGGTGCGCGCAGTCACATTGATCTCGAGCAGCTCCAGAAACGGCGCGATCAGCTGCGCCACGTCACCAGAAGTGTGGACCAATACGTGGAGATGAAGTCACGGCTGGTCGGCACCGATGAGAAACGCGAGCCCAACGTGGAGCCGGTGGCCATCACGTCCATTTACGAGAACCGGCCGGTGAAGATGCTGAATCCGCGCAGGAAGTTACGCAGGCACGCCTACGAGAGCTACGAGCCGGAGAGCAGCTCGTGCGCCGACAAGTCACCCTGCAGCGACGGCGACGCGATGATCCAGGAGCAGACTTTCGTGTCGAACGCCTTTCTCACCCTGAAGTCTTCCCAAGAGAGCCTTCTCGACGAGAAGCGCGAGATGATCGACGAGCAGCCCGCCGTGGAGAACCGTGAGGCCACCGACAAACGCTTGAAGCGCGTGCAGATGTTGCTGCCGACCAGCCCCACGCATTACGTTCAACCACCGACGCCCGATCATCCACCACCGTCGGCCATGCAGGCGGAGAAGTCTATCCACGAGCGCATTCGTCCCCTCAGCCAGGTAAGTGTCGTTCCATCTGTAGACGGAAAGGAAAAAGATTCTGCCGGCGCAACTAATCGTTATTCAGCTAAAAATGTTTCGCCGCTGTAACTGTGCGCTGAGAAAAATTTCCATCGGATAGACCGATTAAATGATGTATCCGATTGTTATTTTTATTTTCCGATCAGCCGATGGACACCTTTATCCGATAAAGTATCCGATGAAGTTACCGATGCGATTATCGAATTTAATCGGAAAATTAGTCACCTTTTGTACACGGAGGGAACACATTTTGCTAGAACAGTAAATGTTTGTCGATATAATGACAGCGAAAGAAATTTGTTTAGGCAGCGAAAAATTTGTTTAGACAGCAGAAAGATTTGTTAAGAATATTAATTGCTATTTGCTGGATATATGGACAATTAATACTCTTAATAAACCTTTCTATTGTCCGAATCAATTTTTCGCTGTCTAAACCATTTTTTTTTCGCTATCACTATATTGACATACATTTGCTTTTCTAGCAAAATTTGTTTTCTCCGTGGTATATCTGTTGTAATTAGCAAAATTTGTTTTCTTCGTGTTTATCCGTTGTAACTTCTATCGGATAAAGACCACGACTTGATCGGGCATCGTACTTGATCGGACACATCTGTTTGTTACTTTTTAATTGGATTATCCGGTCAGATATGATCCGGACATTTTTCTCAGTGTACTTACAAGTTTGGCTACAGTAGATGTATGTAGGTGTGGCATCTATGTACACCTAGCAACAGTGACTGAAGTTTTGCTTGCGGCAGCAAATTTTGTATCACAGCAGCAAAACGTTGTCAGCTAAACCACGATTGGCTGTGACAGCGAAATCTTTTTTCCCGTGTAATCGTCATTTCACGAACGTGTCGGCGAGTGTGCACGCAAAAGCAAAAAGGCATCACGCTTAGTTAATAACGGGTCATTGACAGCGCGATTGCGATAACGTTTCATTACTGACTTCCGGGTGTGTAACATAATTTCTACCGTCGTGATTTCAGAGTTTATCGCATTATCGAGTAAGAGAGAGAAAGAGAGAGAGAGAGAGATAGGGAGAGGCACATGTGATTTTTCTCCTTCTCGACGTCTTGCCGCGGCTCTGTGAAAAGGCGCGGTGCTTTCTCCGCTGGATAGGATCGCCTTAGGAAAGCAGGCGGGTGCGAGTTATGAACCGACGACGAGTGTTCCTCGAGCGACTGACGGTCGGGGGCTTCTGATCCCCCGCGTTAAGCCGGGCGAGCGCGCGCCCGGGGGATTCTCTCGATTCCCCGCGAGAATTCCGCGGTTCGTGCTCAAACGACGGGCAAACGGGCGGGAGCGCGTCTCTGCGATTTGTCGTGCGCGGTATGCGGCGAAGCGTGCGCAACGGGCGCCGTTCAATTTCGCATCCTCGGCTGCTCTTTGGAAGCACGGCAATCGGCAGACATATGTGTATATGTGTATGTGTGTGTATATCCGTCTCATACGTATCCGGGAATACGACGCGAGGTCTGTGTATGTCCGGTGACGCGTATCAAGATATGCGGTGGATACAGCCTAAGCTGTACCTGTGCTTTAATTTCGTCTGCGCGAAACCGCGAGCGTCTGCACGAAAGTCTCTATCAGCTCGCCCGGAAGCCGCTCTCTTTCTCTCTCTTTCTCTCTCGATGCCGGCGCGTCATCAGCGCCGTCGAGCAGTCCTCGCGACTCGAGGAGCTCGACGATGCGCGTTCGCCGACGCTCGCCATTAGCGTTCTCACTTGACCCGGTGTCTTGGACAGTAGATAAGCAGTCTAGTCTCGGCGTCTTACCAGGTTACGTTTAATATACAAGCTGTGTTTGATCTGTGATGCGATTTACAAGGAGCCGACCCTCTGCCTCGTTCGCAGCAGCCGCCGCCGCCGCTGCTGCTGCTGCTGCTGCCTTCGGCTTGTCTCGCTCGTTTGCTACCGTTTGCGCGTCGCTCTATGATCGTTCTGCTGTGAGACCGACTACGTTCAGTTTCCATCCACCGCGAATGGATATCCGTAGCACACCACGCTGCTTCCACCACACTTCTGCCCTCCATTTCCTCCCTCCCTCCTCCTTCTGTCTCTGTATCTCTGCTCTTTCCACGCCTGTGTCACCCCGTCATCCGTCCCGGCTTCTCTCTGCCGTTCCCTGTATGCACTCGCAATCCGTGTCTTTCAGTCGACTATACACGCTTGACGTAATATCACATAGTGAATATATCTGGAAAGGAATCGGCGAAGACGCCCCCGTTCATGTGTACGCTCGGTGTACGACGTCGTTCGCTTCGGAGAGAGAGAAAGAGCTGATCGATGCCTTCATCGTGTAAATCGTCGTATTTGATAGGCGCATATATATCTTGGCGCGCACGTTTCATGACGATCCTTTCTCACACTCTCGATGACCCGTGAAACGCCTTTGTTTCGCACATTACGGGGGCGGTCCCACGCGTTTCCGGATTAATTTAAATTAGTCTCGAGGCCTCGCGCCGAAGAAACGAGAGTGTCGTCGGTGCGACTCGGAAACGGGTCGGAGAAATTAGTCGGCAGGATATATCTCGGGAAATTAATCCTCTAATGGCAAGGATCTTCAACGTATTAAGGAAGGTGAGGTCGGATACGACACCGTACTCTGTTTCGTTTCATTCTTCAGGTAATTAACGCGCAAAATGGGTAAAAAAGGTAAATTACAGCATGAAACGTTTCTTAACACGTTGAATACCGCGCCAAATTCACGTGATCTTTCATTCACGCCGCGTAGGCCACCGATAATCCACGATTTTATTATATTTTATTAATTTTATTTATTATATATCTTTATGGAATATATCTTACAATATTTATAAGATTACAAAAAAATATTATTATGAAGGAAGGAAATAATGTAAAATATACGTTATATAACCTGAACGGAAGAAATATCGTAATAAAAATTACCACAAAATTTTGTAACATTGAACCATGCCGGAATTATGACTGAAATTATTATGTGTGTTTTAATCTTTAGCGATGTGTACAACGAAGCGCATCTGTAGAGATTACAACATGACAATTTCAGTTATAATTCCGGTATCGTCTAACATTACAAAATTTCGTAGTAATTTTTACTATAATATTTTCTTCGTGCGGACCGCCGCAATACTCCACGTATTAGGAAGAAAAGCAGTGCGTGCAAGGTGTAAAATGAACCATGGGGTCAATCTGACCTCACCGTTAAAAATGAACATCCTCTCGCGAGTTGACCGACGCGACTAATGACAGTAGCCGCGGCTCGCGATCGTTCACGGGATAGCGTGTATTCGCAATTCGTCGTCGAGCTGCTGAATATGATTTGATGACGGGGATCGAACGCTATTACGGCAGCCGAAGACAGCCTCGGCGGAGGAGGCGGGGGTCTCCCGTGAACCCGTCGGAGGACGTGGAGAAGGACGTGGAGAGATGGGAGAACCGTCTACGGATGGTTGCCTCTCACCCGTCAACTTCCGCGAATCCAGTAGAGCGGCAGAATGCAAGACGCCGACACCCTTTGAATAATGAAGCCCTCGGCTTCTATGCCTGTCTGACTTCGCCTCGCGAATGTTCGTTCTCCGTTGCCATAGGAGAGAGAGAAATTCGCGAATTTGTAGCGACGGTTTCCGGCTGTCTCCTCGAGATGCTCTCGGCGGCGGCGTTTTACAGACGAAACCGCGAGCGTGTCTGTCGGGCCTGTGTGACGTCGGATTTTAATTGCGTTAGAGCTTTCTGGAACGCGCGATGAAATAGCGAGCTGTCGTTTCGCAGTTTGCACTTAGTAAATCAAAACGCGACGTCTCCCTTTGAGTGGCGTAACGCAATTCGCGGTGGCTTACAGGCGTCGCTATTAAACGTAAATGGCGTTAGGTTGACCGCTCTCGTCACAGCTGGTTATTAATATCACGGAATATAAATATTCAACATAGATGTAACGCGGGAATTACGTACACATGTTGAGTAACTTTAATTATCTCGGCATTGTGCGGAGAGAGTTTTTCTTGCTGCCGTGTTGTGTTTGGTTTTTTTTTTTTTTTACAAACAATAAAAATTCCCTTTGACGCGTATAGTTGGATATAATAATTTCGATGTGGCTGCGTTGCAACGTTTGAGGCAACGATTCCGCGTTGCATCATAAAATTCGAGAGAGTGCCTGGAAAAATCATATTATATTTGTCATTTATGACTCGCCGTCAGCGGAATCGAAAGAATTAATGTCAAAAGGTATACCTGATTTTTATTCGAATATATAAATATGCTTTAGGTTGACCACGCGTATTTATTTTCCCTCCGATTTACATGGTATATTTCTCGCGTGCCTGCGCGAACGTTCCGTTCCAATAAATTTTCATCGCGATAGGATTGGCTTCATTTTTCCATCGTGCGATCTGCTACCACCGCGCCGCGCGGTGCGGCGGCGGCACGCGGGGGGAATTTTTATATCGACTGTAAATATCCGTGTATAAAATACGAATGTTGACAATCTCGCGATAACGGCGATACGCCAGAGTAATAGTGGTCGCGGGCAAATTGTAAAACGCAACTGTCATAAATCCGACAACGTGATCAGCGCGATTTTGCATGGTAGATATTAAAAAACGCAAAAACGTACACGATATCGAGCTATCTTCCTCTCGTCTTCCTATCTTCCGCGCATCGGTGTGATCGTGTTCGACGCGTAATCGCGGAATTACGAAAGAGAAAGAGAGAGAGAGAGAGAGCGCGAGAGGAGAAAGAAAGTATAATTATGGCCATATTATTAGACGCACTTTAATTCTTTTACATTTCATTGACTTTCGAGGACCAGTTTTATGATACGGCTCATCTATCGATCGAATTATGTTAAAGAACCATCATTCTATAAAAGGTATTTTTTTATGACGCCATTTGGCTGTTACAATGGCCTTGAACAAATATGAACCCGCGCTAGTTACATTGTTGATATTAACGGGAACAGACGTGTTTTGAGTACGTGTCAATTAAAATTTTGTTTTACTTTATTTTTGTTTATTTGTGACTTGAAACTCCAAATTCCTTACTAACTAGAAAAATTAATGTTCTTGTGAAAAATATTAATATTATTTACAAAAATTATGTGTAAAACAGGTGATTTGACATTTCGGAAGGTTGCAGAGATAAAAGCGCTATTTGACGCCGAAAATTATTTTAATCGAGCGAACATAAAATTTGTAGTTTTTCTTCTCCTTCTAACCTGTATTTTATTATAGAATCAAAATGCGTTTAATAATATGGCCAAGGATTGTAGAGTAGAGTATTTATTCTGTCCTAAGGACTATTCCTCTTAGAACTTATAGCAATGATACAAAAAATTTTGGATCGAAAGTCTGCGGGCGTGCACGTTCCGTCAAGCACGTAAAAAGAATATTACTCAAATATATAAGCGTTCTTTGCGCAATCGTACTCTTGTTCACTAATACCCTAAGATCTACAGATAATGATTTTAAAAATAATTTCGCTAGTGCAAAATAATCTTAATAATCCTTATCCTGATTCTTATTCTTATCCTTATCCTTATCCTTATCTTGATTATTATTAGACTTTCCATTAACTGTAATTTAATCTCAACTCTCCATTAGTCGCAATATCCAATAAATAGTATCCTAATATTTGTCAATTTGTTTTTCATTGCTTTTCATGTACTTCAGTGCCTGGTCTATTAGCCGAGTGCTGATGAAAAATTATTTCAAGAAGCAGATCAAAATAATGGGGAAATTAGTGTATCTGTGAGATACATTGCTGTCATTTACGGGTAAAAAATATTGCGACTAACGGAGGGTCACAGAAGAAACAGAGAAAATTGAGAATCATGATTAAATGAATATAACGAGATTGTTACGTGTGAGAATCTTCTAAATATTAGGAGTACCCATAATTAATGTCGCTTTTTGATATTTGTACAAAATTTTATTTTATTGTTCAGTTATTTCAAGCACTGTTGCACTGTTGACCATGATGTTTTAAGCTTTGTCGCTAATGCATCAATTTCAGCCGACACAAGATCCTTGTCAAATTCAATAGATCTCTAAGCTAAATTTTGGTCCGTCGGAAAGATTGAAACCGTTTTTAAATTTTTTAAACCAATACTGACACGTTCTGATATCCAAAGCACTATGATAAACAGAATTAGTGGCACTCGTGACTGTTACTAGTGGCAGTTACTCTTTCGAAACTCGTAAACTTTGGCCTTCCACTTTTAACGGTACACTCAAATTCTTTCAAAATTTCGTAATAAGCACACTATAAATGTTAATAAATTATATAGATTATATAATAATCCACGAACAAGGTGGCAATATTTATTCAATCTGAAAAAATGACATTACTTATGGGTGCCTCTATGAATATTTACTATGCGTGTATGTATGTATATAAATAGAGAAAGACAATTTAAAGAATTAGAGAGAGAGAGAGAGAGCGAGTTGTCGCTCTTTCCTCACGAAAGACGTTGATCTGTCGATAGGTGTACAAGCGAAGATCCCGCGACATGGAAACGGAAACGGACGAAGATCTGCTGCAGTTTCCCGCCGGTGGATCGCTGGACGCGTCCAGCGGCTCTCTCTCCAGCGTGTCTCTCTCCGACAAGAGCATGTCCACGGACAACGTAGAGGAATACTTCGGCGACGTGCCCTTCGCAGGTAAACAGCATCGCACGCTTGGCTGCACCGCATGACGCTTCTTTCTGCCCACGTGTACATGCATAACCGTTGTGTTACGTCTCTGTCTTTTTACCGTCTGCCTGAAACACCGCTAACGTGACGACTGGGACGTTCTTTGGGGGACACGCACTCTCTAGAGCAGGTCTCTCGCGTTTAAAGCGACGGCATAAATCGTGTCCGCGTGTGGTCGACGGGAAACAACGGGAAGCGTGTGTATGAGGCGAGTTGTACATATGTATAGTGGTGGCACCTCTGACAGTCACGGTGTTAATGTTCGCAATGATTCCCAGTATGTATTAGGCTGCCTTCGTCCCTGACTCATTGTTATCTATACTTATGTGTTCACGGTTGCTCGAGTGTCGAGGGCACGGTGTATCCTTGTATCGCGGCCTGGAAGGTTCGAAGGCGAACGTACAACAACAATGGGTGCCGTGAACAGAAACCGGTTACCGTAGCTTTCATTCCCGATTCCGCTTTTCCGCGCACATTCGATCCCCGATGTGTGGACACGAGAGACACCAGTTCAAGTATTACAACACGGGCCTTATTCGTACGGCGAAATGTACAAAAATTAGAAGCAGCTGGCCTGCGCGTCGTAACATCTAGAAGATATATTCTTAGAGCATTTATATATAGATATATATATACACTGTGTTCGCAATTGAAGTTTTATTACAAGTAGCAGTCAAATGGCTGACATTACCTGAGTTCGCATAAATTGCTTCGCATTGTCGATAACGATAAATAATAAGAAAGCTTTGGAGGAGACGCGCTTCCCTTATCACGCGCAAAATAAAACTCGAACTACTAGAGTTAATAGAGTTAATATAGTATCAAGAGTTCGAAGTATCTAGAGAGTTATCTATTAGAGAGTTGTCTATATGCCTCGTGTATGGCCGTACGATGTTTCATCGCTTCGATATATATATATATATATATACGATATTTATATCTCCGTTATCCGTATTAAAGTGTTTTATCGCATTCGCGCACTCGCCATTTTGCAACACGCCGCAGCGCACAACGAACCTTCCGGGTCCTGCTCCCGAAAGAACAGATAAATCACACGAGGCAGTTTTCTCCCCGCAAGAGAGAGAATGTTCCGCGCGACGTAGATCTTCCTCGGCTTGATCGAGCCGGACGTACTTTAGCGTCAGGAACACCGAGAAGAAAGTGAATTGGTCGAGACGATCGTGCTGCGACCGTCATTGCTGGAGGGGGTGGGAAGTAGTTCGCGGTCTGTTTTATCGGGAATTTTGCTGTTTTTCCTCGAGTTTTGGCCGCGCCGATATGAAGCCGATAGCGCGTCTCTTCCGCTTCCACGTCTCGAAAACGCGGAAACGCGCGCGGTCCCCACATCCTGTGGTAATAAAATCCGTCAGGTCTGGGCTTCAATCTTTGCCGACGCTAGGCGAAAGACGTGCCGCGCAAGCACAATCGTTTGCGCAAAAAGCTAACGATCCGAGTTCGTTATTCGGGCCAGGCTCGGTGCTCCCGGTTATTGGCGGTTATTCGGTGGCTAATCTAATGGATTAGGCGAAGAGTCCTTCGCAGCCCGGGGGAAAGGATAATTCGTCGAAATCCCGGATAACGGTGCGTTAACTTCGGCCTCTCGTCGCGTAGGAACGGTTAAAAGGTATTAGGGAATTTGCGCATGTTACGATTAGAGAGTAAATAGTTCCTTAGATTGTCAGTATCATTATCTTGTTACACGATACCAGTGTGTGTATGTATGATGTACATATCGATAGTTTCGCTGTTATTACATATCTTCCACTCTCACCTTTCGCATCGGTCTCGCGAGAGTGTTTACGAAAAAAAGGGACGAGTCAAGTCTCGATTGCGTCGTATATTAATCGACATAAGTGGTGAATATCGCTAGCTAGTCCGTTAAAGTTTATCGTCTAGGGTCGTCGTTGATGTATAATCGCTAGTTGATGTTTGATCATTCGGACAATATCAGTTAATGCACAGAGTTACGGCTACTACTATATGTTATTATACACGTTTTTCGGTACGTTTATCTCGCGTTGTTAGGATTCGATGAAATTTAATTATTTTATAACATATATTTTATACATAATGCGTTTCTAATAGTTGGTTAATCGTGGATGCTCGAGATTGTACCGGTGAATCGCGAAGGACGCAGCAACATTTGCATGCCGAATGTGTGCACTTTAACGCAAAGCAAAGCGATTATAAGAAAGGCACGCTTGTGAGAGGAACTCGAACTGAGAATCCAAAAGACTGGGAGTTACATGGAAGGATAGGAGAAAGTTGTTATGTTTTGTAATGAAAATTATAAGCGGATATATATATATATATATATTTTTTTTTTGAATATAAGTAGAGATGTGTCCTATATATATATATATATATATATATATATAATATTTATATAATGAGTTGTTGCTGTAGCGGGGTAGATATGTTTTGAGAATTACCACGAAACTTTTATTAAGTCATTAGAGATATATATATATATTCGATTCTCGTATTTCCTTTTCCTAATGTTAAGTATACGATACGAAACATATCCAAAATATACTATTGTAGCGTGGTTAGAACTGAATATTATATCTTCTTTCGCTCTGAATGTCTCATCATATCTAACGATATTACAAGTATCAATTAGATCACGACAATTTTTATCCTTATCATATATATACAAATTACACATTTTTCGCAGCATATATATAATGGTGATATATAATAATGATAAAATGATACAATCCTATCGCGCATATTTTACTTTAAGCGCAACAAATGCCGCCTTTAATCGCAAACTACTTACGAATTATTAAATTTAAGTCGTCATCAGCCTTACGATCTTCCGGATACTTCAAGTACGCTTAAAACGCGTTTATGAGAGATCCTACCAATGAGAGATCTCATTTGACGCATCCAAAATTCGGTCTGATATAAGAGAAAATATATTATACATTCCTGTTTTGCGTTTGATCTTATATTTTACTTTGCGTCAAATGCTTCGTCTAAGTATTATAACGATTCCACACACACACCTGTATACGTATATAAAACTATACGAATATGCGCGATATATATTTACATTTTAAATTTAAGCAATTATAGTGCATTATAACATCCTTGATGTGCTAATAAACGTTATGCTGCTATTGTATGCGATGTCTTGAGTCATTTTGTCGCTTCTGTTTCTCCTCAGAGCTTTCGCTAAGTTTCTTGGTCCTTCATAATATCGTAGCGGTTTGCAGATTCGTTGCCCTTGGTTATTATTATAGTACGGTGTGTCGCGAAGCGATATTTTAGAATTTACTTTTTCTCCGATGATCCCATCCCACACGCGACAGAATGTCTTCGATTCGAACAAAGTAGAATTTTTTCTTCCTCCGAGACGAAGTTACATTAAAAAAAGAAATCATATATATATATATGTACATATACATATGTGAATAATATTCTATTCGACCAGTAATGAATTTATTCCATCGACGTCTTATTTGTACATCCCGAGACAGACATTTCATAGCTGTACAAAAGCTGTAGTTGTGTAAAAAATATACAGCTTATTTTGGTGGTAAGTTTTTGTACAATCCATGATATTTAAGCTGACACCTTTCGACACCTTTTATCCGATGTAATTGTAATTGTAAGATATGCAGTGATGTTTTACGATTAACCCAACGTGTGTAAATATGCGGCGAGAGTTAATACGCATTCGGCAGACAGGATATTTATTTGTGACATTGCGTGAGGGATCGCGCTGCGTTTACATCTTAAATCTGTGCATGTTTTGCGATTTCGTTGTTTAACTTCTATGGCTGCATACTCTGGATATTATATGTGATTCTTAGTCGAGTCTGCGTGATGGTCTGACACTGTATATTTGTCATGTCCTGCGTGAGTATGAAGCGTGCAGCTGAGAGACTCGTATGCAAAAGAGGATACCATGGTGTGTAAAGCGGCAATAGATAAAGCCGAAACTGGAGCAAGGTGAGTCTCCGCGAATGACACGTTGTGTTCGTTGCTGTAGACCGCCAATCTATCATGCTAATCCGTTCTCGTCGCCTGTGTGACACATAATGACGAATTGTGTAACATACTCGGCGAGGGAATTCTTGATCGACTTTCTTTCTCCGTTTCGAAACGATTACTTTGCGGAGACATCGCGGCGTGCATCTCTCGTAAGGCTCGCATGAGCGGCGCGATGCGATTGCGCGAAATATCTTCTCACATTTCGTGCCAGCATGTGGAAAGTCGAGGTGGAGAACATGAGAACGTAGTACATACTGATAAGAGTCTGTTGCACTATCAAAATTCATTTTTTTATCGATACCGTAGGTTTACCCAAGCACATTTCCTCGGGATAAAGATAAGGCCGATTCTTTCGTCTGTGTTCTATCTCTATATTTGTTCTATTTCTTGTACTCGAGATTATTTCACTTCGCCAATCAATCGGCCTCATAACTGTGTCGTTCTCGCGTATTCTCTTTATCCTCATTTATTATTATTTAGTATTTGTATTCATTCATATTTGTTATTACGGGCAAAAATTTATCGCCGGTTAATATCGGGTTTGCGGATATCTCTGTCACATTGAAGATTCTATTTTAATAGCAATTATGGAGTGTCTTAATGCGAATTGCGTTACACTTGGCTGGAAGGTGGACGGGAACGTTAACATCTTGCTTACGTAGTAAGACGAGCGACATCGTGACATCCGGTAGGGTGAACGTCACAAGTGGATACAAGCTAGCCATGCGTTCTCCGCAGCGCAAACTCGTAATGAGATACGCCAATTGCGTACACACACACGAATACGACCGTTTCTCGTGCGCTGTAACTGTAACCGACGAATGCCACGGCAGGCTAATTCGACGCGAATAATCTCAATTAATCGATTTTCGCTTCTTACAATTTATCCGTTGTCTGTTAGGTGCTATCTACTCGAACACACCTGTTTACACAGCGATATTCTTCCGTATCGCTTTCGCGTTTTC